GTAAAATTCTTTTCCTCTGTCGGTTTGAAAATTTTTCGGGCATCTTCCATCGTCTCGAAATATCTTTGCAATCGTTTCCGACATTTCGTTTTCACTCTTATTCTTGAGCGGTACAGCCCACGCATACTTGCTCAGCACATCAATAACTGTGAGTATGTAGTTGTAGCCTTTGTTGAATTGTGCATATGGACGCATCTTGTTGAATCGTGCATATGGACGCATCTCGACCACGTCCGCCTGCCACAGATCGTCGTATTCGCGTACTATGACACGTCTACGTGGAAAATTTTTTCTCGCTGGAGCATGCAATTCTTCCACGAGCAGCTGTTTTTCAGAGGTCTTTCGTAGCATATTTGATCGAGGCGTAATTCGTAATAATGAGATAATTTCTCCACGTATATTCTTTATGTATTTTTCTTATCCTGCGCTGAATCAGATGTAGCCTGCGCTGAATCAGATGTAGTCTGCGCGTGAGTTGCATACCGAAGCATTTTCTGCATGTCATCCATCATTATTTGCAGCGTTTGCATATTCGTCTCGAGCGTGATTATTTTTTTCTCAAATTCTTCCTGTTGATCTTCCAAAAGCTTGACACTTATTTCCACGTACTGTTTGTTTGCGGCATCAATATCATCTTCCGATTGCGCTACTCGTTGTATCTTGCGCGACCTTGCGTCAAAGCCGGAGGCTGTCTGACACAGAGCGTTATCGCGCACGTAATTTCTTAGTAATCCATTCCATTGAAAGTATGAGTTGTTCGGTGTGCCCAACGATAATCCAAATTTATTAATCGACATTTCGATACAAACAATAATAACAGACTGACTCATTTCGTCGACGCATAGTCTAATTTATAATAAGGCCAGCTTCGTAAAGTTTCCCGATAATTGATAATATTTCATTGTCGTGGGCATTGTTGCCGGCTTGACGCGAAGCTTCCAGCAATCGCAAGCGATCTACCAACTCGTTGGGATCATTCCAATGCACGTAATCGATCTTATTATCGTTTATCGTTATAGCGAGCGGTATGTTTATAACTCTTCCAGTTCTAAAATTTTGATTTTTAACAAAATGGCGGACTTTCAAACTTAAGATATCGATTTTCGGCCAAAATTTTAATTTTGTTTCAAAAAAAAAAATAGAAATAATTAAAAAATTGCAAAAAGCATCCGACAGGGACTACAAAATGTCATAAATTTTAAGACCCTTTTTGATTTCTTTGTTTCAGATAAACCAGCTCGGAGATCCCGACGGTACCGCAAAACCCTACAAGACATGCAAGGCCTAGGGCGAGGGGCTGTAGGGAAAGTACTTTCCATACAAATAATAAACAAAAATCAGAAAATGCAATCTAAAATGTGTACTTTTATTTGTGAAAAGACCGATCCTCGTAGCTTTTATATTTTCGCCGAAAAAAAAAATGAAATATGCTATTTTTTTTATCCGAGAAAGGTATATGCCCCCTTAACACTGGCTTACACATATATGCCACGTCTATGCGCATTTGTCGCCTGTAATATATTTTTGTATTTAATTATATCATCGTCATTGTATACGTCACCATCGGGCATTCTCTTGAAAATCAACTCGAAGAGACCTGGTGTTCCCACGTATTTTATTCCGACTGATATTTTTATCTTGACTCAAAATAGCTCCCACATATTTTTGCCCTAGTGGACCCAAGTAATCGCGCAATGTATTTTGACCCTCGGACGTTTGTAATAGATGTTTAACCGATGTAACAAGCGTTTCAGGCGTGGTTTCGAAAATTTCATACACATATGGAGACGGTCTTTTGCGCAATATTTGACTTGGTTGTAAATCTTTTATCGGAGTAGAAGTAACCGCATTCAATAATTGTTTCATTTGCTTACGTTTTGATTGATTTGGAGTAGAAGTTATTAGCGAATCATTTAATGATATATTTGACCAAGTTCGCTTTGTTTTATACTTTGACTTTTTTCAGATGCTTGTCTTCGAGCATACTCGATGGTTCGATTTTCGCTTCATTAGATTCCACATTGATTGTATTTTCGACAATTTTAAATTATTTTAGAGGTTCGGTAATTGGTTTAAAGTGCCTCTCCAATGCGACGTCTTCCTCCATTTGACCAGTTTTTAAAGAACGATATTTTTTGCGGATTGATTCGCTTGTTTTTGCAATCTCTCTCGCAATCTTCTCGCGACCGTTACTGTCAATCGTCGTTGTCATGTTGCGCTCGGACGACAGTTTTTAAACGTTGCTCGATCGATGTATCAATAACGACTAACCACTTTACGGTATTGCAAAATCGTTAAATCCTTTTCAATATCGTCCATTAGTCTGTAAACTGTCTTTATCAATCACTACAAATCCATACTTGTATTGCCAACATTTCTGACAGAATGCGCGAAAATCGTTGTAAGGCATGTCAGTATTTATATGATCGTTGTATACATGTTTTAAGTTTGTACAATCTTGTTTAAATAAAATCAATAAATTCGCATTGTCCCGTAAAAGATGCTTGGGTATCTTGGCATACGTTTGACAAAGATAGAAACAGTCGACGTTCGAGTGTCGACCCATTGCGAAGTATTCTCTTATCGTATCTTGCTTATCGCATGCCACGTCATCAAAGATAAAAATAGAATTCGGAAGCGCTTCGCTCGATGGAATAACGTCACTATTATTAGAGAATGTAAAATAACCAATTTCGTCGATCAATGACAGCAAATTTTCCAAGTATCAATATTTCGGTTGTTGAAGCAATTTCGAGTATACGTACACATTCTCAAAACGTACAACGTATGGACTTTCTATCAAACTCATCAACACGTTAGTCTTACCGCAATTCGAAGGACCGCAAATGATACCGCGTATAGTAATCGGCAGCATGTTTCCATGCTTGCGTTTTTCTTTCTCGGACGTTACTCGTGTTTTATCGTCAAACTTTGATTATCGTCGCTTGTTGCACGAACCGCATATTTGCTTTTGCGAATCTCAAATCAGATTTTTGGAAAATGAGTCATCGGGACTCTATTTATAGAGGTGCACCGAATCGAAACCGCTCAGTCTCGAAAATGTTTCTTCCTCTATCGGTTAATAGCGATATTCTCGAGCTTACCACCGAGCAGTTACAGATTATCCCCAAGATTGTTTTACTGCGAGACTTTGGTAGCTACGTGGAACAATTGTGGGACAAACTTCCCGAACATATAAAAACTGATTCAGAGGTTCGACAATATCGTCGATGCATGCGACATTATAATTTGCCGTGGCAGCGAACACATATCGACGGTTTAACACCGTTAATAAAAGATTGTGGCAAATGCCAGCGAAAATTATAAGAGATAGCGGTTTGTTAAATCGTGCCGTGGTATCTTACCCATTTTACCATTATTGGGAGTTTTCGGTTCGTTGGCTGGCGGAGCAGTGGAAATCGCGAAGGCGGTGAATGATAGCAAGGCGGCGCAACGTCAGCTCGAAGAAATGCAACGTCATAATCGCGCCATGGAACGTCACGGACTTTATCTCGCTCCATACAAGCGTGGACAAGGGTTCTCAACAGCGGCTAAGAAAAAAAACGTCAAAATAACGGTAAAAATGCCTGCCGATGTAATAACCAATGTACAATTGGAACAACTTGCAAGACGTATGCGTATACCATTCTTTAGAGGCGTTTTCATGCGCAATAGTTTACCGATAAACCGTGTACGACGAAATGAGAGCGGTATCGTCAATTTGGATGATGTCGATAGTTCCGATACTCATTGGGTAGCGTATGCAAAGAGGGGAGATCGGGTAGCATATTTCGATAGTTTCGGAAATCTTCGACCGCCCAAGGAATTAGTGCGATATTTTGGACAGAATGTTGCAAATATAGAATACAATCACATTCCTATCAAAAATATAATCAAAGTATTTGTGGACAATTGTGTCTATGATTTCTTCAAACGGTCGATGATCGATATAAATTTAAAGCCTGACAATTCAGCGTCACGACTCAGTATTCGTTGGACAGTTTTCCAGAATGTCACTCACACTTACATTGACTGTCAAGAGTATCGTTATTGCTGTAAATTACTTTTCGGTTATAGATTTAAACGATGACGATTACGAGCTTGGTTTAACGGACTTTGAAACTTATCATACAATATCGAACGTGAATTCTTAGAATAATAAATTTTACTTTGATAACGATGACAAGGAAATTACGATTTCCGAGGGATCGTACAAATTACACGCTATAAACGAGTATCTCCGACGTGCAAATTTACGACATCGACGCGTGGTTGATTCCAACGACATTGTTGATGACAAAGATGTCGCGCGAGAAGAGAATGAAGATGATATCGAAGAACATGGCGAATATCCAATAATGCTTCGCGCTAATCATAATACGCTAAAGAGTGAAATCAAATGTGTCTGTAGAATAAATTTTAGTAAACCAGACAACGTTGGATCGTTGTTGGAATTCTCATCGAATAATATATTACAACTTCGGAAATGGCACGAATCGGATGTACCGATAAATATTATTAACGTAAATATTATTCGTATAGAATGCAGCGTAACCACTGGCGCGTACAGCAATGACAAGCGCGTACACATGAAACATGAATTTTCACCCAGTGTGCCGCCAGGATATAAGATATCGGAAACGCCAGCACAGATCATTTATCTACCGATTGTCGCACGGAGCATTACTGATTTAACGATATGCATTGTTGTTCGAGAAGGACATTTGCTCGATTTTCGAGGAGAGGAAATTACCGTAAGATTGCATATACGGCGGCGGCAAAAATAAAGCGTGTGACAAATGAAATGCTTGTGTTGAACGAAAGCACGGAGCACGCGAGAGCAATATCTTTACGAGGGACAATATTTTTGCGAGAAGGCGAGTGGCTGCGGTATCTGGTGACAATAATCGGATATCTGGTTACGCTAAAAAGAAGCTCAGCGCGTTGAATAGCGAATTTTTAAAATCATCGGGACTCATCGTACGAAATATTTGAACAATATGATTGACATCTTGAAAATCGGAGGCGAGCCGATCTTTGACGATCGTATCGTCAAGATTGAGACTCATACGTACAATCCATACGCCAACACAACGCTTGGATATAATGACGAGATACCGATACCGATACAACATCAGGATTTGTACACGTTATTATGTGAAAGTTTTCTATGCATCGAGGGAAAGTTGACGGTGCATAAAGTGGATGAAGGCGGAAAGGTGGTATTGGGAAACAATTTTGTCGCGTTTATGTTTGATGAACTTCGATATGAACTCGACGGTGTGGAGATTGACCGCAACAGAAACGTTGGAATAACTTCCACAATTAAAAACTATGTCTCTCTAACAGCCGAGAAAGGTAAAACCTTGGAGAATGCTGCGTGGAATATGTCGCATAATGCTGTTGAATCTTACTTCAATTTTTGCGTGCCGCTAAACATACTATTGGGTTTTTGCGAAGATTATAAGCTAATTGTGATTAACGCTCGTCACGAATTAATTCTGATACGTTCGCGCAACGACAACAATTGCATATTTGGACATGCTTCGACTGAAGCTGATATCGAATTATTCAAGATACAATAGCGACGCCATTATGGCGTATGCCTCATGTAATATTGAGCGAGGTCAATAAACTATCCTTGCTACGCGCATTGGAAAGCGGGCGATACTTGAAGATGAATTTTCGCTTATTCCACCGTGGACGTGAGATAAGAGTTTGAGTGCAAGGAGGATATACGGGCAAATGCTACCTATTGTCTCATCTTGCACGATTGCGTTGTTGAATATTGCCCATTGACCAACGTAGTTCGTAAAATTACCTAGATCAGAAAATATTCCCTGCAATGTTAAAAAATATATAAAGATTGAGATTTTGACGATCGACAGCAGTCGTACATCATTCTTGCAATTATACAGTAATATTATCAGCATGATCGCGCCAACGTTTGTGGATCTGCAAGGATTCATTATCGGGAGAAACATTATTGTGAAGAAAGTAGCGATACTGAGAAATAGATTTGTTCTCTCTCATTACTTTTTTGCAAGTCCCGTACCATAGGGTGTGCTTACAAAATCTGAGAGATGCCAAACTTCATGGCTAATCGGACATCACCATCATGGCTAATTGGACTTCAATGGGAGGATGGAAACCATACAGCTTCGCTAGGCGTTTGATTACGAGAGCTGTGATGGATGCGACGGAAGACAAGCTTCATGGCTAATCGGACATCACCATGGGCTTCAATGGGAGGATGGAAACGTTCCATACAGCTTCGCTAGGCGTTTGATTACGAGAGCTGTGGTGGGTGCGACGGAAGAGGAAGATGGAGCATCTCCTATCGTGTATGTTAAAGGACACGAAAAACGAGAATGGCTGGCCGATATACTTGACGATGATGCGAGAAACGACGTTATTATTGAGACCTTGGATGCGGACTATGAAGATATCACTTCGTTAAATAAGCTAGATGTTACTAATACTATGCACTGTGAAAAACATTTAAAAAATTGAGCTTTACAAAATGTATTTAAAATATTCACTGGACGAATGATCATAAAGATTCACCCAAACATTATTTAGAATGAACTATTGTTAAAATATATTTTTATTCTCTTTTATTTCTCCCTTTTCCTTTTTCTTATCCCAGTATGCGAGTATTAAATTTCAGTACGTGACGTTAGATAGCAGCGTCAGCCATTTAATTAAAATATAAATGTTACATGTCTATAGACATACAATTTTTAAAATATTTATTTTATTGGTATATAAGTAATTAATTTGTCGTTTCATGTTGTGCGAGAAAAAAGTGGACGTGGGCGAAAGAAGCTCTGCGAGATCGAGTCTGCACCGGACGCGCAAAATACTCTCCGCGAGCGGCGGATGTATCTTGAATACCGCAAGCGACGGTATAAACGGCGCGATTCCGCGAGCGACGGAATAAACGGAGAGTTTTAATTGCGAGAGATCACTCGCGAGCGACGAGAAATCTCTTTTATTGCAATCGAAAACTTCGCGTTTCATAAGCGAGAGTACGAACTAGAAAAGCGAGCGACTTTTCTATCACGAGAGTTTAGACGATATAATAACACACGGTTACGGATGGAGTTCACGATCATATGCGCTCGGCGGTTCTCCGAGAGAGCTTTTGTACAATCGTTCTTTTGCTTATTCTAGAATGTTCGATATGTTTTCGCGAAAGATCGAGCTTGGTTTTGTTTGCGATAATTAGGAAAATTAGAACGTTGTTATTCGCATTTGTTTGTAATTCTAGCTCTCTCGGGTGACCGCTGCGTGTCCCGCTTCGAACGGCACGAGCGATACCGCGGGCCTGGCGTGATTCGTGCAGCGCCGCTGTTTACGCGTGGTCTGATTTGCGGCGAGCCGTGCGCCGCGCGAGATGGCCGCTAACGCGCCAATTTTCGAGCGCTCCCTTTAGAGACGCTCAATCTCAAACACATGTAGTTGATATTGGTTCGATAGTTGTTCAATAGCTGTTCGATAACTGTTCAAAGTGGTTCGATAGCTGTTCGATAGTTTTTCGATAGCTGTTCGATAGCCGTTCAATAGCCGTTCGATAGCTGTTCAAAGCTGTTCGATAGTAGTTCAAAAGCTGTTCGATAGTAGTGTAATAGTGGTTTACATATTATAGTAATACGTTATTCATATTTAAAAGACTTTAATTGTAGATAGTTGTTCGCGGAAACATGCTTACTTTTGTCTTCTTATCAT